TTGCGTTTACTTAGCGGAATATACAGTAGTCGGCGATCTGCTCTGGTGGAATTCTGTTTCCAGATAACTTATGTCCGGAAATGATATCCGAACAAAAACTACACAGCGAATAATATCACTCCAACGAACGATGCGAAATCTCACGATAGATTTCCCATCAAACCCATTCGCGGCGAAGAAAGGTGCCTCGATCGAAATTGAGACGCAGAATCCATAGCGTAGAAAAGCCGCGTGTTTCCTGCCGATGATGCTCGGCAAGAAGAAGAGGTGAATATAAACGAGCGAAGTGCCTGGTGAACGGGCAATCCCCACGCGGATGATGATATATCCCTTCTCGTCGTTTCCTGCGGGCAATCGTTGAAGATCATAAGTTAACACGAAACGATGTAATCGTCTTCCGCTCTTTAGTTCAGGCGCAAATTTATCGACACTTTCTAGTAAAGCGCACGTTCCACCATCACAGGTGCAAATTCCCTTGAAGGGGCCTATTGACACCCTAAGATTCGAACAATTCTCGATTCATAGTAGGGAGAGCGTAATGTAAGAGTCAAGGGCGCATAAAAACAAGAACTAAGGAAAGTTAAAGGAATGATTATCTATCTCGCGTGTGGGAAAAAATTATGGCAAGAGTCTCGTATGAATGAAAATCCCGAAATTTTATATGTTAAGATCTTATGTTTGAGAATATATTCCCGCGCATGTCTAAAGTTGCACTGACACAGTTGCATAGAAATTTCATGTACTCAATATTTTTGCATTTTTATTAAAAAAAAAAAATTAATTCCGCGCCTCTCTATACTGTCTCAAAAATCTCCGCTCGAGTTCTGTCGCCGAATTCTTCATTTTACTCTCATTATTGGTATTTTGTAACATGGCCTTGCGCGGTGACTAAACTCGCACCTTCAGATCGCGGATCAAGTCTTGACGGATTCTGCGTTCTTTTCTTTCACACGCGCCCGCAATCGCAGCCTCGGGTGGCCTCGGACCTTTTTTACGTTACACTTTTGCCACGCCCTGATCGAACGGCTAAGCTCATCGCGAAAGTGAAACGCAATAATGAGGCCGAGATGAGAGTTTCGACAGTCGAGCGAAAAGAAAGAAAAAGAGAAAGAAAAAAGTAGATGAGTTTAAAAAAAAGAAAAAAAGACAGAGAAAGGGAGAGGAGAAAGAAAGAAAGAGAAATGTAAAATCCTATCGATCGGAGAACTGGAAGTCATTTTCTTCGCCACAGAGATGATCTCGCGCAGAGAGAGAGAGAGAGAGAGAGAGAGAGAGAGAGAGAGAGAGATATATGTTCTTAATCTTAATTTTCTTTTCGATTAGATGCATGTTTAATCGACAATACATCGTCATCTTTTCTTTCCATAAAGCGAATCTCTTTAGTTTCATTAATTCTCTTATTCTCTCTACATTTAATTATAGTACAAATATATATATATATATATATATATATATATATATATATTTATCGAAAATATTTATACATTTATGAATTTCTGGAAAATATTATTGTTAATTTTTTAATTTAATAACGAATTAGTTTGACATTAAGAAACGGAGTGTATGTATTTTAATAACGAAGTCCAGGTCAATCTTCTGATGTTTTCGAACTAAATTTTCCCAAATAAATTCTTGTTAAAAAAAATCTCCCTCAGAATGCTCTGCTTAGCATACGCGAGTCCTATGTTACCTTTCGATCGCGAATTATATATTCTGATAATATATATAAATATATATTTTATAACAACGAAACGATAAACAGATAATAAGAATAGCACTGTGCCTATAATATTTGTCGTGTATATATGAACGTATAATTGTTAGTATTCTTGTGCGAGGCTCAATTTTAGTTAAGCAAAGACAAGTAAAAGTAATGCAATCCAAGTGTTTTCGAGTGTCTTGAAATTTCTTGTACAAGATTACACACATATTATTTTGCACCACGTAATCGCGCATACTCTCATATACTGCCGACATCAAGCGCAATCACTCGTGTCGCAGAGATTCATTTATTTCGATTCGAATGTTTCGACAGATATTATTTGGATGAAAGTATACGGTACATAGTTTTATTTAAAGAATCACATTTTTAAACAGATTTTATGATAATTTTATGACAATTTAGAATAAAGGGAGACAAAGAGAACAAATTTCGCGATTTCGTGAACCAACATCAAATAATCACAATTGCATGCCATTTCGAGGAGATGTAACATGTTATATCGTTTAGTTTAAGTTCGATGTAGATTCTTATTCTATAGCTGCGTGTGATTCGAAAATTTGACTTACATGTCGTAATGTCACACTTTAAGCCTTATATTGCGATCTCGATCTTCGTCGAATTTTAATGGGACCGTCGATCCAATTTTATTCAAGTGTTCGTATCCCATTCTCTCCTATAATTATATAGTCAACGCGCACGCGAATGCGTATTAAAGAGAAATTTGTATAAAGAGAATTCTTTAATTTTTATATCAGATATAAATAGAAAGCACGCATG